TCATTAACGCCACTAGCGAGAAGCATCTTATTAGACGAAATGTACAATCAATGCTGCGATCTTTCTATCGCTGTCAACAGAGCAGAACAATACGAGAGAACGATAAAGCATTCTCTTGGAAAGTTACGAAACAACTTAGGCAGCGACAGTAGAAAATGGCGTGGGTCGTGACGGTCTGAGACCAGGTGGAACGTGTTTATACAAGATACGACCTGATAAGAGATTACCAAAGCTTTGCAGGAAGACACATTGCCGTAGGCAATGAAATGACCATTGTCCGAAATCGATCGACACCCCGAAATCACAATTTTCCTAACTAATTCCTTCACCTTTCGAGAGTCACTTTCAGTTATCACAGAATTTCGAAGCTGGAGTGAAATGTTAGTTTCGGAAGAATAATAAACCGCAACAGAGATTTTAGACGATCGTGCCGGTTTTAAGACCCGCGTGCGATACGTCGGTCACGATTTTTATAGCGACCACGAGCTAGTGAATAGATCTATTGAAAACCTTAGACGCGACACGAAATTTAGGTTAGCATTCGTAGCGAACCATTGGTGATTGTTAGATGGTTCCATTTCCGAGGCTTAGCCCGGTGAGTCGTGACGAGGAGAATAATATTTAAGAAATGTCATAAAGGTTATTCATAATTCCTTTGTACGTTTGCAACTGTAATACGAACTATAACGCTGCACAGGATCGTTGGAATCGTGACTTTTTGATCGTGAACTTGGATCGTTTGTAATCGTATATCCAAGCAAATGCCGATAAATCTAGAGATGTGTTTCGATCAGTCAAGAGAAGGGAATTCGAGGTAGCTTCTATTTGATAAAAGCAACAGTACCATTCATGATCGTGTGATCAGTTCTTCCCTTGCATCGTAGAAATATTCCAGCCTCCTGTCCACTCGTCTCTTCTTCCCTCTCATTTGCCGGAGCACCAGTAGCACTATTGTATCGCCTCTCTTCCCCTACTTTTTTTTTCTGTTTCTTTTCTGTTCCTTGATGCACGTTCAGCTCCCGTTCTACCGATTGAATATTGACCCCACCGCGTCACGCTTGTACGCTGCAGTTCATTCGAAACGATACGCAATCAACGACAAATTTCGAGCGCTCGTCACTCGATCATTGTTGGATGATCATTCGGTGAAATACGTGTTATGTACTTTTTATCTGTTAACCAAGGGAGACGAATTAATTCGTCACTGGAATGGTCAACTTTTGTTACCACATAATTGGTAGAAAGAAACGACTCGGCAACAGATTGGTATACATCTCTTTCGAAGAAAAGAAAAGAAAAAAAGAAAAGAGTGAAACGAAGGAGAACGAGACAAGTGGAAGATTCCTATCGTAAGAGACACGAAAGAAATCATACGTTTATACGCGGGTCGTGTCTCAAGATAGATGATTGTTTATGGAACAATGCCGACGATAGATAACCATTTCTGCGTATTTTTAGTCACGCGACTCTGCACGCTTCTCGCTCGTACGAGCCGTATATAATCCGTGCGTGCGAGAATGACCACGCGTGATGGCTTCTCAACTAAACGATCACACTGCTTCCCGATCCAACGAGGCTGCGTTCTGCATCTATCGAGAGCAACGAACGCCTGATGACGTTACATTACAGACATTTCATTGGAAACTTCAGTGGTCGCGGCTAGCAAGTTCGCAGGGTAAATCGACTACGAAATTGGTAGCGTAATTTACCGACGCGAAAGCGCCACAACGAGAGATTCTCGATCTGCATGCGACGTAGAGACGCTTGCACGGAACTGAGAAACGGTGTGTAATAGCACGAGAAACGAGGCAGATCTTAATCGTCAAGATCGATGTCGTGTTTGCATTATTACAGGGATCATTTTTCCGCTCGTGAATTTGCTCGAGAAGTCATGCAAAACCAGATGTGTACATTCCTTCCCATAAATATTGGAATATCCGTACACGTTGTACTTTTATTGGAACGTATTTTCAATTTAGGAAAATGTGATCGGCGACGGAAGAGTTATTTCACATATTTCCAGTCCATTTCGTGATTTTTTCTTTTTTTTTTTTTTTT